GGCCCCGGCGGCCGCGGCCCCAAGTCCACCTTCCGGGTGTTGGAGAACTCAGCCCCGCACCTCCTGGACGTGGACGGGGAGAGCGGGCTGCTCTACACCAAGCAGCGCATCGACCGCGAGGCGCTGTGCCGGCGCAGCACCAAGTGCCAGCTGTCCCTCGAGGTGTTCGCCAACGACCAGGAGATTTGCATGATCAAGGTGGAGATCCAGGACCTGAACGACAACGCACCAGCGTTCCCTTCTGATCAAGTGGACATGGACATCTCTGAAAATGCTGCGCCAGGCACCCGCTTCCCCCTCACCAGCGCCCACGACCCAGACGCTGGGGACAATGGGCTGCGGACCTAACTGCTCACCCGTGATGACTATGGCCTCTTCTCCCTTGATGTGAAGTCCCGAGGTGATGGCACAAAGTTTCCGGAGCTGGTCATCCAGAAGCCATTAGACCGTGAAGAGCAGAGCCACCACACCCTGGTACTGACAGCCTTGGATGGTGGTGACCCACCACGCTCGGGCACAGTGCAGATCAATGTGCGCCTCATTGACTCCAATGACAATAGCCCCATCTTTGAGGCGGCTTCCTATGTGGTAGAGCTACCTGAGAATGCACCACTGGGCACTGCCGTCATCGACCTTAATGCCACTGATGCCGATGAGGGTACCAACGGAGAGGTGCTCTACTCTTTCAGTGGCTATGCACCTGAGCGCGTCCGTGACCTGTTTAGCATTGACCCACAGAGTGGCCTCATCCGTGTCAAGGGCAACCTGGACTATGAGGAGAGTGGCCTCATTGAGATCGACGTCCAGGCTCGGGACCTGGGGCCCAATCCCATCCCTGCTCACTGCAAGGTCACTGTCCGCCTCATTGACCGCAATGACAATGCACCCACCATTGGCTTTGTCTCCGTTCGCCAGGGAGCACTGAGTGAGGCTGCCCCTCCGGGCACTGTCATTGCCCTGGTGCGGGTCACTGACCGAGACTCCGGCAAGAACGGGCAGCTCCAGTGCCGGGTGCTGGGTGGTGGTGGTGGAGCAGGAGCTGTCCCTTTCACCCTGGAGGAGAACTATGACAACTTCTACACTGTTGTCACTGACCGGCCCCTGGACCGTGAGGCACAGGACGAGTACAATGTGACCATTGTGGCACGTGATGGGGGCAACCCCCCACTCAACTCCACCAAGTCGTTTTCCGTCCGAATCCTTGACGAGAACGACAACCCACCCCGCTTCAGCAAGAACCTCTATGTGCTACAGGTCCCTGAGAACAACATCCCTGGAGAGTACCTGGGCTCTGTCTTGGCTCAGGACCCTGACCTGGGCCAAAATGGGACAGTCTCTTACTCCATTCTGCCCGGGCATGTGGGAGATGTCTCCATCTACACCTATGTCTCCGTCAACCCCACCAATGGTGCTATCTATGCCCTAAGGAGCTTCAACTATGAGCAGACAAAGCACTTTGAGTTTCGTGTGCTGGCCAAAGACTCGGGTTCACCCCACCGTGAAAGCAATGCCACGGTGCGCGTCACTGTGCTCGATGTCAATGACAATGCACCCCTCATCGTTCTGCCAGCCCTCATCAATGACACTGCTGAGCTGCAGGTGCCTCGCAATGCTGGGGTGGGCTACCCCGTGGGGACCGTCCGTGCCCTGGACAGTGACTTTGGGGAGAGTGGGCGTCTCACATATGAGATTGTGGAAGGCAATGAGGAGCACCTCTTTGAGATGGACCCCACTAGTGGAGAGATACGCACCTTGCACCCCTACTGGGAGGAGCTCAGCCCTGTTGCTGAACTAGTGGTAAAAGTCAGTGACCATGGCAAACCCAGCCTCTCTGCAGTGGCCAAGCTCATTGTCAGGGCCTTGGCAGGGCCCCTGCCCGCCACAGGTGAATGGCGAGCAGCATCGGCGACCACACTGGGACTTGTCGCTGCCCCTGATCGTGACACTGAGCACTGTGTCCATCATCTTGCTGGCTGCCATGATCACTATTGCTGTGAAGTGCAAGAGAGAGAACAAGGAGATCCGCACCTATAATTGTCGCATTGCCGAGTATAGCCACCCTCAGCTGGGAGGAGGGGGAGGCAATGGCGGGGGAGGAGGAGGCAGTGGCAGTGGAGGGGGCAAGGGCAAGAAGAAGAAGATCAGCAAGAATGACATTATGCTGGTGCCCAGTGAGGGCGAGGACAGCCGGGGGCCCCTCAATGTCATGAACGTGGTGAGCAGCCCATCCCTGGCCACCTCACCCATGTACTTTGACTACCAGACTCGCCTGCCCCTCAGCTCTCCCAGGTCAGAGGTGATGTACCTGAAGCCCGCCTCCAACAACCTGACTGTACCCCAGGGACATGTGGGCTGCCACACCAGCTTCACAGGGCAAGGGACTAACGCCAGCGAGGCTCCCCCGAGCCGGATGTCCATAATTCAGGTAGGAGACTTTTAGAATACCCTGGACCTCACTTTAGACACTGGTTTAAATTTACCTTTTGTCTGCAGTGAAATCTGCTGTAAGACACCACTGAAGGGACCAATACAAGTCACTAAAGAGAGGTGGACTTAATGAAAGTGGAAACAGACCACATCTGGTGGATCTGGTTCTGTTGTCACACTGCTCTTTCCCAGGGGATTCACAAGTAAATGCCCACTGAAACAGTCACGCCAGTGTAAAAGAGGGGCATGTGAAAGCATAGGCAGGTGTTTAGTATGTTTAGGGCATGCTGGGGTGTTTTCCCAGAAGACTGTCAGACAGAGGAGGGTGCTTCCACAGGTTTCAATTCACTTTGGTTTGGGGTGGAGAAGGGGGAGGGCTTTTCTGAAGCAGTCATATTACCTGCTGTAACTAACAGGACGTGGGAGAAACTCTACACGCTGAGGACATCTATTGCAACAGTGTATTATAGCCCTGCAATCCTCTATGTAAATATGAGCTATCTTTCCAAGATGTATGTTTTCAATTTTTTAAAATTTCTTTCTTTAGAATATATATCCATAAATATATTTTATTTGACACAGAACAGTATCATTTGGGCTCCATTGCCTCCTCCTCTCCCCATAAACAACCAAACCTTAAGCACTGAAAATTCTGCTTAGTCAAATAGAAAGAAAATGTATGTGGTGATTCTCTTCTATCCCCAAATGTTAACAGAACTCACATTCTGTCATAGAACAGCAAAACAACTAGTCAGATTTCCAGTAGCCTGAGTCAATATTGATGATTGCTTTATAGTGAAAGACTTACATGCTCTGTCTTCTACCAAAGCTCATTCAGAAATTGCAGCTGGGCTGCATTCTGCTGCCAGTTATATCCACATTGTCCTCTATCGACTTTTGTGAATGTGACAAATGGCAGAATTTGGACCATTTGATATAGGATGCTAATCAAAGAATGACTTAATTTCTAGCATGTAGTTTAACGTTTAAACTCAGAAGGTGTATTCCAGAGCAGTGAACACGCAGAGTGAAGGTGAGGGCAGAATGTGGTTTCAGATGATTAAATTTAAAGTATTGCTTCATGATTAATACAGCTTAATGTTCAAATACTACAGATATGTTCCAAAGTGATTTTTAACATTTGGATTGAAAGCAGGCTCTGGATAATGACTATTAAATATATTTGAAATGTCAGATCTGTTTTATCCTCTGCTTCTCCTGATATGCTGTTCTGAGTCATAGGGGAATGAGCTGAGTGTATCAGAAGTGACACAGACTCATTTTGTGTATGCAGCTAGTGGGAAAGAAGTTGCACTGTAGACGCTTGATGTACCAAAAGAAAATTCGTAATTCCTTGGAGTTATCATACCTTGTGGTCTAAGAACACCAAAATGTTCTAGCTGCCAGCTGCTGCACTTACTGTTTTAAACTAAATAGAAGTGACCATTGGTAATTGGCAGGTTAAATAACCAAAAATCCAGTAACTGATGGCCTGTAAATGGAATATTTATAACTGTGAAAAAAAGAAAAAAAAAAAAAAAGAAAGAAAAAGGCTGTCTGGGCAAGGCCACTGTGAACTAATCCTTAATCTACTATTGAGTTGTGTCACAGAAACAATGTCATTTTATGCCTATCATGAATTTGTGTTGCTATCAATTAGGTGAATGGAGCAATACTTAAAATCTGAAATTGATTTTAACAAAAAGTGACACTTCAGGGAAGAGTTTAGATTAGGGCACAACTGGAGATAATTTGATTTATAATTCATGTTTCAAAAAACAAATAACTTTCAGTGACACTTGTTTAAGTAATGTCAACTTTTTTACTGTAAAATGGAGTTGTCAGAATGCTAAAAAAGAAAAAAGAACACATTTTTTTCCTACTGACAAGTGTAATAGTTACTAAAAGACAGAAAATTATACTTTCCTACAACCATGTAATGTCTTTATAAAGCAATTAATTCATGTATTGATAGTACTGAGTAGTAAAGATTCAATTGTAGTGTAAAATCCCTATGGAAAATATGATTTCTTTTTTTACAGTGTTCACTGTATAGTATCAATCATGATTTTTTTTTTCCCCCTGAGATCTATATAAAGCTAAAAGAGGAATTTCCTCCCTTAAAAAGGTGTGTTGTGGTTTCTATAAGAGTTTTCGTTTTGACAAACTGCAGAAAATGTTAACAGTAGCTCTTCACATCACATACTGGTATACGTAATATTGTTTTCACTTTCCCTGAATATCGACAGAGTGTTTTGGATGTTCAGGTGGTCCAGCCAGTAGATTAGGAGTCATTTTTCTCTAGTCTACATGTTTGAGCATAGTTATTGATACTATATTTTGTAGTTGTATTGACAAAACAAATATACAGTATGAAACAAAGCAGTTGCTTTCTGTTTAGGAAAGGACCAGACTTAAAGTAGTTTGATGGGAAAATCCAATCCTCTTCACTGTAATTTTTCTTTACTAAATATCTTCTGTATTCGCTGTCCCCACTTCCCTGGAGTAAATTCCGTATACAATTTGCATTTAGAATGTAGACATTGCTTTGTATCTGGTCCTGTATTTTTGCCTCATGTAAAATTCAAACTGCAGACTTAGGGAGAAATAGTATAGGATCAGTCCTCTTTCTGGATCTACTATATCCTTAATCACTCCAGGAAACCTTGTCTGGAGAAGTAAATTGCACAGTTAGGAATCAAAGTATAGCCAGTGGAAAAAAAGATACAGAATCCAAACAGCTGTTTTATCATCTCCTTTCATTAGTCACTTCGGAAAAGCAGTTTTCTTCCTTACCTCAGTAAAGGAAAGGTAAACAATTGTGTAAGTGTTCTCTAGTGAATATTCACTTTAGTTTTTCCAGATATATTACTGAACCACGATAATCTCACGCTATATAATTCATATGATGGAACTGCTTTTCTTCACTCTCATTTTCTCAGCAAGTCTTTAATGGCAGAATTTTCTAGCAGAAGCCTGTTATAAAACTTTATGTTTATATATATATGTACATACTTATATATCTATGTGTGTATATAAATACACATGCTAAATATTATATTATTATTACATCCAGTCAGGTTTATAAATAATTAAAACAAAATAAATAATTTCTTTATTGGTAAGATCTTAATTTTCGCACTCCTATTAGGAGTGCATAAACATCTTTTTTTTGCTTTGCTTACTAGTAAGAGCTAGTGAAGTCAATAGGCTACATGATTCCCTTATTTCTCATGAATAGTATTTTATTCTACAGACAGCCCAATTTGTATCAATCAATACCTGTGGAGTAAAGTGTTACTTAGTGACTATGGGTTTCAGACTGACCCAGAATGACCAGCACCTGAATAAAATACTGCCAGATGTTTGTAAGAGAGGTGTTATCTTGCCTCTCTTTAAGTGAATTCTGTTACACATCAGTCACACAGTTCAACAACTTGTATGTTTACTCCTTACTTTGTAGCATCCAGCTATATGCCACGGTTACATGTGTTACTATATGAATCACGAACTTCTTCAGTACCGTAAAAATAAAGTAATTTAAACATGCATGCATACATGTATGTTTAAAATTTTGGATGGTCAGCCAAGGTTGCTGTGTACCTTCAGCTTTTACTGGCATAAGACACTTGCAAGTGCTTAAGGCCTCTGAAAAGAGACCGTTTGTGATTTGATGCACACATGACGTGGATGTGTATGAAGAACAGTGTTTAGTATCATACTGGGAAGTCAGGGCAGCTACAGTTATAGCATGTTTTGTTGCTTTTAACTTCAGCAATCATATTGTAAGCATACTTTAGAAACTGCTTTCAAACGCAAGTTTGTTAAAAATATTTAAATATAGGCCAGTGTCTATTGTCATTGCCAGATTCAGAATTCCATGTGACCTTTAAATCACTCATGGTCCAAACTATTAATTTTTATTGGGGTGAAAAAAGAAGAAAGTGTGAGTAAATAGCACTTCTACATGGCCAAAAGAAGATTTGTTTACTCTAGACCGTAAAGACTATTGGGTAAACTGTTCGTCTCATTCTGGTGAGCAAATCAAGCTGAACTACTCACCTGACTAAGAGAAACAGAATTTTGCTTTATTTTAAGGAGCAGACATTAGAAAAAAGAAATATCATGTACTAAAATACACATACATGTTCATATTTCTCCTACCAAAAAGTTCCAAGTTAATCAGTTCACATTTACCTGGGTGAACAAGTTGAAATTTCTTCCTGCAGGTTTTGAGTAGACAAAAGAATGGATGGATAAAGGGAAACAAATAGTTTCTTTAAACAGATAAAGCCTGGGAATAGATTCCTCAAAGTGACATAACAGCAGTGTAGAAAACTACATATGCAAGTAGTGTTGATCATCCTACAGATTATTTATTATTACACTTGTGGTGCAACTTGTAAAGGTTTGTAAATATATCAGGAATGAGACAGGCATGAATAAAGAAAACAGAGGTCACAGCTTTTTCTAAACAGCTGGAAAAAAAAAGACTGAGTTGCAAGAATCTCTCAAGCTGGGAACCACTGCAGCTGCTGTACTAGGCAGTCCTGTAGCATTTTGAGATAAAGTAGGTATCATTCTTAATATTTCAGGCACCTGATGTTTATGATGTGTGAACAGATTATTGTCAAGTTCCAATCCAGCTTCATCGCTAGGTGTCTAGTAGTACCTAAGAAGATAGAGTCTTCAGGGGAAATAAAAACCAAACTATATTAGCACTGTTCTGTCTTTAGATATACTATTCCATGCTTTACCTTGAGAAACTTCAGCTCAGAAATTTCAAGTTTGCAAAAAGAAGTCTGCAGCTGCTGCAGTACAAGGAGAAGCAGCTTTCCTCACAGAAGACACATTCATTCTCAGTGATGTAAATTCCTATCTGTAGAGGAATTCATTATTTTGTTTTGTATCTTCTGCTACAAATGAGGAATATTATTCTCCCTCACTTGAGCTAGTTGAAGTTAACATTTTTCACCAAAACAATACTGGGGCAGTTCT